CCCCCCCCCCAGCAAGTGGGTTTGACAGTATATCCGCACATGTTAGACGGGTCATCCTGCCATGCAGTGGTGTTATTGACCGAGAAGGAGGTCACAGATCGATAAACTTCTTGCCGGGCCGGGGGAGCCGCCGCCCCCCCCCTCCATCCCCTCACATCCTGGTTCCAGCTTCAAGCACAATCAAGCCGAGGCTCATAATACCGCGCCCGGCCCGCCGATATCCTCCCTTATCGGTCAATTGTCCGTGCTGGGCCCTTCTCAATATCCATGCTGGGTCATGTGTGAGTGGTCTGAATGTGTGTGTGCGGGAACCTTTAAGCTGATAGTCCGGGCAGGATAGTGTTGGGCCTGGGTTGCACTGGAATAACCGGTCGGACAGGGTCATGTAAGCTGGTTACACCGGCCCGGTCATTTATTGACGAACCACTGCTCTCTCTCTCTCTCTCTCTCTCTCTCTCTCTCTCCTCTTATGCCTCAGACAGACTTCTAACTCAGGCTTCCTTCTTCGTTCGCTTAGTCATGTAAAGAACATTGTAGGTAGTGTGCCTTTGTATGTATCTGCGCTATATTTCGTACTACGTTTTAATATTATATGTTTTTAGATGAGAATGTATCAGTAAGTGGATTTATACTCTTTACAGTAATCTTGTAATACATACATTGTACAGCTGTACAGAGGTATTAAAGAATGGAGGAGGGAAATATTATAATCTTGGCGCCAGGACAAACAGGCCTAGGCTGTGAAATCTGTGTTGTTTGTGGAGACAGGGCTTCAGGTAAAGAAAAAATTGCAAGAATGGGGAGGGGAGGGGGGGCATGCCCCCTGAAAAATACATTACCTTGGGCCCTGACCACCTCCTCCTTCTTGGAAAGTTGGAGATTCTACGAAGAGTTTTGGTAAAAACCATCATATTTACATCACTTTAGTGTTTTCATGTGGGAAATATTAACACTCCCCCCCTTCTCAGAAAATTTCATTCCCATTACCAGTTCAGTTTGCTCAATGCCCACATGCATATGCTCAGTTTTGAACTATATTGTGCATGCATTCCCGGGTACCCCCTGGATAGCAAGAATGGGTGGACACACATTCTACACTTTACTGCATGATTCAGAAATATTGTGCTTCATCTATTTTTAAGTTTTATCTAATTTTAAGTTTTATCTAATTTTAAGTTTTATCTAATTTTAAGTTTTATCTAATTTTAAGTTTTATCTAATTTTAAGTTTAATCTAATTTTAAGTTTTATCTAATTTTAAGTTTTATCTAATTTTAAGGTTTATCTAATGCAATCAAATTTAAACTAATCTGAGACTAAAGTCTGTACACTTGCTTCTTTGTTTCTAATTATCTTATCTTTGTAACCCGATGTACGTGAACCTTTGTATATTTCAATCATAGAATTCTGTTAGATTAACCAGTCGTAATTTACAATATTAAAGGAATTATACAACATCAGGTTGCATAATCATGAACTTTGTCAGGGTCCTCAGGTCCCTCAGGTCCTCAGGTCCCTCAGGTCCTCAGGGTTACAAAAACATATAATCTGTTTTCACCAAATCAAAGGATCAGGGTTGGAATAAAGAACTTGTTCATTTAAGGACGACACTATGGTGTAGTTTCCTGTGAAGGATGCAAAGGATTCTTTAAAAGATCAATGAGAAAAGATCAAGGATACAGATGCAGGCAGATAAATCAGATAATTATTAAACTTATATTTTTATTCTTCAGTCATGTATTTTTTTCAAACTTGGCTATTTTAAGGGAGTGTAAACTTTATTTTAAGTGCCGCTCCAGTACAGAGTAGAATGTCTGAATCTGATACACAGCGGTATCCTAAAATAAGACTTGCTTGATCAAGAATAATGGAGATATTATACTTAAAATACGGATTTTATTTTGCTTCAGTAATTATGAAGATAACCCATGAGAATTTAAGACTTTCAAGCTTCATAAACTACCATGTCTTCCACATTATTGATCAATAAACTCGCCTTTTCACCAATTAATCAAATCTTATTTATTACCTTATCAATAACTACAGCAATTCCTTGAATTAACAGATATTCGCAAAAATTTATTTTACATTTAACTTGTTAAAACTCATTAAAAAAGAACTAGTTCGAAATATTATTAGTTTAATCTGATAAACCTGTTTAAGAGTAAACAATGACTGCAATGTAAACAAGAACTATAGAAACAGGTAAATATGCTGTACCGCCCTTGTACTGTACCTCTTTTATCTGCGCTGTACATTTCTGCTTTATTAATAGTATCTGCAGCTGTGCTTTCCTTTTGTGTTTACAGAATTTTTGCGCATATGTACTGTACTGTAACTCTTTACTGTACTGCTTAATGTATCAACCTAAAAATAATAGTTTCATTTGACAATAATCTTTTTACGTTTTTTCTTCTTCCAGATGCCAGTACTGCAGATTACAAAAGTGTCTTGCGATGGGGATGCGAAGCGACAGTGAGTACTATTACTCCTTTCACAAACTTTGATGACATTAAACATTTGCCACGAAGTTTATTTTTCTAATCCCATATCTTTGCATCTTAATGACGTAGACCATTATATAGTTCAAACCAACATATCTGTTAAATTAATCAGTCAGAAAAATTCAAGATTTACACCATTAGGACGCAAAGATATAGTAATTAGGCAATTATAGAGTTTGTGGCAAGTACACAGAAACCTTTATTTCAATTATTTTCCAAATCATTTAAAGAATGTAATAAATAAAAGAGTATCCTTTTTAAAAAAACAATTTTTCCTGTTAATTCAAAAGTTTTAAAGACTAAATTTAAGTTTTAAGGGAAATAAATAATTTTTTTAGTAAAATGAATTTTTTCAAGAAAAATATAAAGAAAGGTAAAAAAGTAAGATCTCAAGCGCATCTAGAGGATCTAGAGGGAGGGGTATGGGGCGGTCCCAAATAAAGATTTTAAAAAAGTAATATTTCAGTTCAAGAACAGAAATGGCATAATATTAGAAAGATTCAAAGTTCAAGAATTTCAGAGTTTCATTATAAACCAAATTTATTGTTTTTCATGCTCACTGAATAAAAAGTTTCCCGCCCCCTTTGCAAAATACCCCCAGTTTAAATTTACCATTAAATCACCATAAAAATGGTAAAAATGTCAGTTCTTTAAATAGATCTTGTTCAGAAGCGGGCCGTGCACTAAACATTAATTTTTTAGATATTCTAGCTCAAAGGGTAAATATTGCCACACCCCGGCCGGCTCAACCGAAAGATCAGGTATGTGAAAACATTTCTTAAAGGATAAATTGATACTTTTGTCCGAAATATGGAAATCACGTTAAACTCTCTAGAAATTATCCAACTCGTTTAAATAATTTTCTGTTTAGAATAAGAATGGTATTCGAATATTTACACCTCCCCCCACATCATCAATTAGAAACAGCTCAGACAATCAGCAGCCAGGTATTCTCCCCACCTCTTCATAAATCATAATAGCTTCCCCAACTTTTAAATGTATGCATAAATTCTCTAGCTGTACAGTATAGCTTCCCCAACTGTTAAATTTATGTATAAATTCTCTAGCTGTACAGTATAGCTTCCCCAACTGTTAAATGTATGCATAAGTTCTCTAGCTGTACAGTATAGCTTCCCCAACTGTTAAATTTATGTATAAATTATCTAGCTGTACAGTATAGCTTCCCCAACTGTTAAATGTATGCATAAGTTCTCTAGCTGTAAAGTATAGCGGCCCCAACCAATGTGTAGCTTTTATATCTGTATATTATAGCGTCACTGACTGTTAAATGAATAAATTCTCTAGCTGTACAGTATACATTATAGCTTCCCTAATTCTTAATATATAGCTTCTCTAGCTGTACATAATAGCATTCCTAACTGTTAAATGTATAGCTACTCCAGCTGTACAGTAAAGCCTTCCTAATTTTTAAATTTATAAATTCTCTAGCTGTACATTTTAACCTCCCTAACTGTTTAATGCATAGCTCTTCTCTAACCAGCATAGGATCCCTAACTGTTAAATAAATAGTTTTTATAGTTGTACAGTAATGCTTCGTTTACTTCTAAATGTGTGGCTTCCCTACCTGTACAGTAAAGCTTTCCTAACTGTACATCTAAATGTATAAGCTTCTTTAAGTTTAAACTTTACCATTCAAAATTCATGTTTTACAATAAAAATAAATCAATGTTTACAACGATCTTAAACTATTGAGAAGAAAGGAGAGTTAATGGAGTTGATGTCAATTTTAATCAAAATTATTAACACAGTCCCGCCAAAAAAGGTTTTCGAAAATAAAGTCCTAAATTTTGAGACTGAAAAAGTCCTGTGGCAAAAAAAGTCCTTGAAATAAAAAGTCTCTGGAAAAAAATCCTATAATCTTGAGACTTTATTTTCTTGGACTTTTTTCTGCTCCAGTATGATTTTATTCAAATTCGTCCCAGGAAAAAAGTCCTATTATACAGTGAAACCCTTAATAACGAATACATCGAAAGAATTCATCAAATGTCGCTTTCTTCACTTTTTGATAATGGAATGTTGCAGATATTTAATTTTTTTAATTAAATGATTAAATGGAACTCCTTAAAACTGTTCCCGCATATTCATGGCTGTTTATTTATTTTCGCAAATGCTGAAATTTACGTAAAATAGTATTAAACTCATTGAAAAATTGTCAAGACAACATTTGATAAATTCTTCCGATGTATTCGTTATTAAGGGTTTCACTGTAGTAAAAAATGCATGGGAACAAAGGATGTTTAACAACCATGCAAAAACTTAATATTAAAAACACCTGTGGCTATATTCAAAATACAGATGCATAGTTAAAAAGTCTTTTGATGAAAACGTCTTACACTTGACCTCATTTTCACAAGACTTCTTGTGTTTTTTTCTTCGGATATATGTTCTTCAGGACTTTATTTCCTGTGATCTTATTTCTTGAGTCTTTATTTTAGTCTTTTTCTTTTAGGAAAAAAAGGCCCAGGAATTAAAAACTTATGACCTTATTTCCAGTGACATTTGGACCTAGAACTTCAAAAATTGGGGCTTTTTTACCAAAGGTTTTATTTCCAGTTTTTTTTCCAGAAATTTTTTTTCGGTGACTTTCTTAAATAGATTTCTGTTTAGAATATTTAATGGACGACGACGAGATAATGGACAGGGATAATGACAACACCATTGAGTACGACACCTCCTCCCTCACTTCCGTCATCGGGAGAATGACCAAGGCGATCCTGGAGATCCCTGAAGATGTAGTTGAGGAAATACGTGAGCTACCGGATACCTTGATTACTCCGGACAATTTGGAGTTTAAAATCAAGATGTCTGACAAACCTGAAGTGTTTAATGTTTACTTTATCTGCGAGGCAGCCTCTCGTGTTCTATTTGAGACAGTCCGTTGGACTCGCTCTGTACAGGTAATCCAAGTCAAGTGCAGACCTCAGATAAACTGTATTTCCGCCGCTCAAAAGCATTCTTCCTTATTTTAAAAGGCAGTACATCGTGAACGTACTGTCAAACGAGCCTAGTCCCTTAGAACTAAACTTTTCCGTTCTTAGTTAAGAATTTTAACCACCGTACTTCAGGTAGTACATCCTGTACTTCAGGTAGTACATCCTGTACTTCAGGAAGTACATCCTGTACCCTTAAACTTTGACGCTCCTTAAGTTAAATTAAGCCTTGAATAACTTACGAAATGATAAAGTTCTTCGCTCGATTATATATTTATATATTTATATATATGTCGGTTATAGCTGGCCAAACGGCTTGACCGAAATTTTTTTAGGGAACCCATGGGTGTTTATAAAATTCCACAGGCAACGCCGGGCACTTCAGCTAGTAGCTTATAAAATGATTTGGCAAAGAAAAATTATTTTTTACAAGGAATCATGAATAATGGAAACAGACTGAATAAATTTTGTACAGTCGTCTCAGTACTTCTGAAGTCTCATACTTTGTTGGTTAACTTTACACAAATTAGATAGATAGATGTTAAACCGTTAAGTTATTATGATGAGCTGTTATAATGAGACTGATTTAAAAGAATGAGAGTTCTTTTTGTAGCACCCGGGACTAAACTCATTTATTTTCTTATTCCAGGTATTTGAGTCTCTTCACGAAACAACAAAGACAAAAATCTTATCCAAGAGTTGGTCAGACATCTTTGTCCTTGGTCTTGCACAGTCTAAAGAGGTAGATTAAATATTAATATACTGCTAAATTTGAATTACCGGTTGTAAAAATATTCTTGACAAATTATCCTAAGTATAGTGCTCACGCTGCTCACTTCTCCGAGTTTGCATAAAATAAGTTTGTAGTAAAGCTAATACAATCTTTAACATGTACAGAAGCGCTACTTTCATGGGTCATTTTATATTTTTTATATTTCACCTTCTATAACAGTTCCCTAACAGCAAAGAAAGTTTTCTGAATAAAGTTTTTGAAATAAAGTACTAAAAGTACCTGTTCAACCTATTTTTCCGGCTTTTGATACTTTTTTACTTTGTTACCCTTTATATTCCATTAGTAAGTACGATGTGTACTTTTAAATTTAGTTCTGGGAGGGGAGGGAGGGGAGAGAGGGTAGGGAGGTTTTTAAGGTTATAGATGGAACTACCGGTGTAATTTCACTTATTGTACAATTTACAAAGGAAAAATGTCGTTTTTATTTTGAAAAATATATCACGAACAATACTAAATTAATATTTGATCATACTTACTTTTCTACAAGAATGTAATGAAAGGAAAGTTTTGCAGTTGTGTATACTCTGCGTACATATTGAAACCAGTTCTCTCTAGGCGGAATTTGTAAACAAACATAGATGCCTCAGTGTTTGTTTAGTATCCGAGGAGGTTAAAAGCATTGAATTTTGATAATTTTGAAAATTCACATAATAGTTTCCTAGGACCAGAATATTTCATTGATTATTTATGTGAAAGATGGATCCGATGGCAGGCTTCGACATCCGTCTTGTGTTTACATTACCGCCCAGTTACAGTACACTGCAGTACAAAAGATGCGTACACCTCTGAAATAACTTTCCTTGCATTAAATCCTTGCTTGTCTAAGTGTTTTAAATGCTAATTAAATCTTCTTTATCAACATATATTCAATTCAACACTATAATGCCAAATTTTCATGCAAAGAAAATAATTTGCGTAAAGTTTTCAATAAATATACTCGTTATTTAAGTTTAATTATAATTGACGACATTATTCTGCAATTTCCTTGACTGTAGTAATGTTGTGTGTCTGTACCAAAAGAGTTTGTGTTAGGAATACCGAACTCGTCTGCAAAGCATTGCAAAGCATTGCGCCATTTCCTTTCCCTTTAATCCTATTCCCTATAATACCTAGTCTTTTCTAGAGACCGAAGAAAGGGATAGATTGATATTTTGGAGTACAAGAAAGTCTAATGTCTCGTTTTAGTATTGATCTGGTTTAATACAGGGTTTCCCAAACCTCAAGACTAAAATGTCTTTAAACTGTTTCTTGTATGAATGATGATGTTAAGAGACTAAATTACTAATGAACAATCAGAAAGAAAGTTGAAATTATTTTTTGTTAAATGAAAATGCATTCCGGTCTTTAAACAAGCTTTCACTATACTTTTTTATTTTAAATTAGGAAAGGATCAAATTATTTTCAAATTCTATATTTTCTGGACTCTCGATATTATTTGTTTATTTACTGTCTATAGTCCAACTATCTCCGTGCACTGCATACTCCAATAAATAAGTATTCAACTTGAAGTATTCAATATATATTGCAATTATAATATTAAAAATCAAACTCATTTTGTTCGGAATTTACATAAAACTGTTCATCTTTTTCTATTTCAAGGCCCTTCAATTGGACTCAATTCTTGAATCTATCTGCTCTCAGCTGGAATCAGTTGCCTCAATGGATCGTGTCTCGGTGTCCCGGGTGAGACAGGTGACATCTACCCTCACCAAGATCAAGGAGTATATCAATGCTCTCTCCAAGCTAGACCTTGATCAAACCGAGTTTGCGCTTGTCAAGGCAATTGCAATATTTGGAGCAGGTTTGATTATTTATGATTTAATTTCCTTAATCTTGATCTTAATCTTCATCTTCTTTCTCATCTTCTTTCTAATCTTCTTTCTCATCTTCTTTCTCATCTTCTTTCTCATCTTCTTATCTTCTTTCTCGTCTTCTTTCTCATCTTCTTTCTCATCTTCTTTCTCATCTTCTTTCTCATCTTCTTTCTTATCTTCTTTCTTATCTTCTTTCTCATCTTCTTTCTCATTTTCTTTCTCATCTTCTTTCTCATCTTCTTTCTCATCTTCTTTCTCATCTTCTTTCTCATCTTCTTTCTCATCTTCTTTCTCATCTCTTTCTCCTCTTCTGTTTAATCTTCTTTCTCATCTTCTTTCTCATCTTCTTTCTCATCTTCTTTCTCATCTTCTTTCTCATCTTCTATTTCTCATCTTCTGTTTAATCCTCTTTCTCATCTTCTTTCTCATCTCTTTCTCATCTTCTGTTTCATCTTGTTTCTCATCTTCTTTCGCATCTTCTTTCTCATCTTCATATAATCTTCATTCTCATTTTGATTAGGTATTTAATCTGTTGTAATGAACATATTAAAATAAAATCGCGTTTAGATCAGCTGTCTGTTAACTCTGAATACTTGAACCTGATCTGTGATCAGCTGGTGACCGAACTACGTGAACACGCGGCAACTGTGCATCCAGATGACCCAAACCGGTTTTCAAAGCTTCTTCTCCGACTCTCTCCACTTCGGTCTCTCCAGAGTGACGTCATCGAGGAGATTTTTTTTACTGGACTCATTGGGAACATACAAATAGATACAATTATCCCGTACATACTACAGATGGATATGGATGAGTACAACACTTCAGGTATTTTAAACGTAAACTCTAATACTGATTTGTTTTAAAAATAGTCTAATATTTTGATTATAAGGGTCATTTTAAAACCATTGTTCCTTTGTCAGACATTTTTGCTTGCAATGTTTCCGGTTAAATCACAATTTGCGTTTTGATTTCAAAACAAAGTTGTTAACTGATAAGCCAATTGTTTTATGTATTGTTACAAAGTTATTCCTGAGGTAACATATCATGTACTTGCTATGTTGAGACAAAGTTAACGCTTAACGTGACTGTAAGCGTAACTTCAAGTGACTCCATGCAAAGGATGGCAATGCATCAGTACCCTTGAAACCTTGATCAGACTAAGCTGGCTGTGGCTTGTGAATCAGGCAGTGTCATCTTTGCATAATGGGTTACTTAAAATACAATTACAGCTCTCCGCTAAACCTCTTTACTCCTTCAGTTAATGTACTGCAGATCTCTGCAGTAGGCACCGAGAGCTTACTTTTCTTAAACCCAAATTTTGGTTGCTTCCTGTGAAAAAGATTGGGCTAAATTAAATTGTTGCTTGTTTTAGAGATAGAAAATTGTTACTTGTATATAATATGACATATTGCTTGTTTTCTACAATGTTTTCGCTCAAAGTTTAAATAGTTTTTTCATCTACACATTATTTTTTAGTAAAATGAAAAATCTTGTTTGGTCAAAGATTTCTATAGAATTCCTCTGTAAAATGTAAAAATTTTAGATAAGTTATTAATAACAATAAGTTAATGTGCTCTATAATATAAAATAAAATTTATTTGTTTTCTATTTCCAGGTGCAGCAGATGGGTCAGATGAATTGACAGATAAAGCAGATGGTTGTTAAGAGTGAACGTGTGTTGAAACATTCATTTATTATAAGTGATCATGTATATGCACATATGTACATATGTACAGCAAATCTTGACCCAGTTCTAGTATAGTCATTCATGTTATTAATTTAAACAGTGCATTTATCTTACATTCCATTCATTATATACCCTACAGGGACATAATGTTCTCTAGATAGTCCTGCCCACAGGGATATAATATTCCTTCCTATCTACAGGGATATAATACTCCTGTTAACAGGGATATAATACTCCTGTCTATGGGGATTTAATAGCCTTAAAATATTAAATACCTTGAATGGAAAAGTAAAGCATTTTATTAAGCAATTAAGATTTCAAAAACCTATGAAACAAAAAACTAATTAAAGCTTTTACCAAATTCAAGGTGTTCAAAACTTTTTCAAAATCTTAATTTCTATACTTACTTTTTTATATTTGATGAGAAAATTATTCGTATGTAGTTTTGATTGTAAACCTTTAAATAATATTTCTTATGTTAAAACACACAATATTAATGTCCTACAGATAACCAACGTAATAATTTATAACATTTTTGTTTTGTTTTATGCACACGTAAAACCTTTAATTTTAAGTTTTGAAAGTTGATAAAATATATGTGTCCTTAAAACAATATGTATAAGAATATTCGCAAAAAAATGTAAAATTAAAATCTAAAAAATTCGAAAAATTTGTTTCCTAAATTTCAAATTGTTGCACCGAGAAAATCCAGTGATTTTTGTTCCCGCATTTATGTAAACATTGTGATGATTCGTCCAGTTGAACTAAATTCTTCAGAAAATTACACTAAAAGTGATTAATTTCATACTCTTCAGATTCTCTAATACGCAAGGTTAGATTAATAAAAAGCAAGAAATCTCTCTGTATTAATCTTAAAAGTATAATGACTGGCTAGACAAACGAAAACGGAGAAAGATCGTATTGATATCTTTTGTTAGAGTAATAATTTTGTATTATGTAAAAAAGCAAACTTGTTATGCATGCAATTTTAAAATAGGATTTACAATTTACATTTCAGATTTTCGTATTTAAATGCATAATTTATCATACTCCTAAACGAACAGATTTTTCGACATTTGACAGATGAGGCTTTTGACAGTTGATACATTTGAAAGATGAGATATTACACAAATAAGACATTTGACATAAGAGACAAATCGAACATTTTAATTTTGAAATTGTGGTTTATCGAATTTAGAAATCCAAGAAAATGGATTTTTCGTAAATGTTTGTAATGTAATTTTGATAAAAGAAACTATTCATTTTTTATGAGAGTTTTTGAACGAGGTTAATAAGTTACAAGATCTTTTTTTGCTGAAAAATTGGATAAAAAATTGTGAAATAATTTTAAAAAATTTGTCATCATGTTGACATTAAGAAATTGTAATTACACTTTTGAACGGGGTGTCCCATATCATATTTGATCGTGGTATAGCTTTAAATTGATAATTCTGAGACTAATATAAAATAGAACGAATCATTAAAAAAATTGTATTTTGGTACTATAAAGATTTGCCTGTAGAAAATACTAGTATTTTGTCCGTATTTTTGCGGTATAAGCTTAGAAATAATCTAATTTGATATGGGAAGCTCTGTACTATAAATACTTCGAATTTGTCAGCGAGCCACACCCGTTCTACCTCATACCCAAAATTGACGTCTCAAATGGATTTACCCCTATAGCGTTCGACCCATACTCGTTTTGTCTTCAGGAAAAATATCTGTGCTTTTTAAAGCTTACTATAGAGGAATGCACTGTTAATTTAAACTTTTAAAATATGGAATGGTATCTAACATACAATAAACTCATTCACAATATTTTTTTGTGATAGTACAGTGGCATGCGATTATATTAATACAATGAAGACGACTTTTTATTTCAAGTTTTGATTTTTATTAAGCTTTTAAACCACATAAACTATAGAACTATAGAAGTCAAGATAATCTTTCAATTAAAAAGTTTCTCTTTGATATTTTAAATAAATATTTTAAAGCTGTTATTACATCTGGACAGAAACCATAATTAAAAATTTAAAAAAATAATTTTCGACATTGTTTGACCTGTTTAAGGGAGACCTGTAATCTTTTTTTACTGGGTGTAGACATTGTTGCTATGGGAATTATCAAATATCAGACGGTAAGTCTAGTAAGAAATGGACGTTCGTTTTTAAATTTAAATTACACCATTAATCGTAATACAACTACGCAAAACTTTGCAGTGCCAACTAATTACAAATATGAGGATTTTAATTAATTTTCATAAAGATTATAATGAGCACACAGAGTATTTTTATTAATGTAATAAAAAGGTGACAGTTTTTAATGTTTACAAACTGTTAAGAAAAAAATGAATAGAGTTTCAGAATTTTATAATCTTTTCGTTAAATATTCAAATTTGAACTAGTTTTAGGAAAGAGATTAGAATTATGAAATTCTGACAGTTAATCACATTTCCAGCACTTCTCATCTCCGACGATTGAATAGTTTTGATTGTCTGTTGTTTTGTAGATTTTTCTAGCAGTTTGGCGGATTTTGAGTCCGGTTCTTTAGTAAATTTCATCTCTTGCTCTTCTGAAGGTTGAGTTGAAAGCCCTGGATCGTCCGAAGGCTCAAGAGATCTGTGTTCCATTAGCAGTTCCTTCAGCTTAGCTGAGTTGTCTTCTGAGTTGTTTTCTGAGCTAATATCTGAGCTTGACTCTGAACTCCCTTCCTCATATTCTTCATCATACTCGTAGTACTCCTCTCCTTTTACCTTTTCTAAAAAATTTAATGATTTAGAAATTTTTAAGGTGTTTGACAACTTTTGAAAGTGTTCGATTTAATAAAAACTTAGTGCTGTTTCTGTGCTTCGGCCTCTAAGACAAGTTCAGAAAGAAAATATTAACATATGTCTTTCCCTATTCCAGTGGACTGGAGGCCATTGGACGGAATACACTTTTAATTCAATGCTAACTATTCCATCGGTTTTTAACAATCAGCACAGTAATTACTCCATGGTGATGGTAATTTACATTAATCACTCCACTGCACGTTGGAGGATTAGTTATTATCACTCGAGACACTAATTACTCCACTAAAAATTTGCCTCCAGCAAAATCCGATTTCCATTAAATTTAGAAAGTCCGCAAACTTTTTTGTTAGTTGTTGTTTTGCAAAAAGAAAATGTTTACAATTGAGAAAGAAGACGGGCGCGAAGCGCCCTTAAAGCCGAGTTGTACATAAAAATGTATAAAGGATATTTCAGAATTTTTAGAAAATGGAAGTTACAATCAAAATATCTTTAAAACATTTAATTTAAGGTTTTACCGACCTAAAGCAGTGCATGTGTCCAGACTTGAGTTATCTAGTTTCACAGTTGATAGGTTTACTAGGTACCCTTTTATCTCCTACAAATATATCAAGTTAAATTAAACGTAGGTACAAATATAATGATAATGATAAAAATAATCAATTTTTCAAACGAAATTCGAATTTTTTAATAAATTTGAACCTGAAGATGAAGCCGAACCATTTGTCGAACATCTCCAGGTGCGAAACACTCCTATTAAAAACATTATAATAGGTTTTTCATATTGTTCGTCAAGTGTTTTAATACTCTTTTCAACAAGATATCTCACTTTTACAGAACTATCTTAATTCATATAAGATCTTTGCTTACATAAATATATACTACTGATGTGCCCTGCACAAATGCCGGTGAAATGAAAAAAAAATTTGAATGTTACCCCCAGTTTACCCATGGAATCTCTCAAAAAAATTCAGCCAGATTGGTCCAGCCGTATAGCTAACTGTTTTTTTAAGCTGTTTGATATTGATAATGTAATTTTAAATATCAAGGTGCCTAACTCTTTAAAATAGAACTATAGAAGAAGTCCTGGAAAAAAATAAGAAAAAAGAAAGGCAGAGTCGTACAATGCACATGTACACCCTGGAGAAATTCCTGTATACGCCTCTGAAACAATCATTATACCCTACACATTCCTGAAGTAATAACCTTGATAAGAAATAACCTGTAGTAGGGAAGGACAACTAGATGAAATATTGTTTAGTGCGTCACAGACAAGCTCTGCAACCCTAGCTGCTTCTGAAAACGTCAACAAATCTTAATAATTTTATTTATAATATTTTTTATTATATTTCATTTTTTATACAATTGCGTACTTTTTAACTCATGCTCAATTCATAATAAATTCATTATAGGCGTACTACAGAAATGATCGTGCTTAAAGGGACTGTAAAGGAAAAATGAAAGGGGGTAAATAGACTGGGCTGGAACCTGAGAATCTCAGGAGTAGATTAAGACCTATCAGAGTTCTAATTGACGTTCCTGTCTCGAGAAATTGATATAAAACTGTGTCAATGTTATACCAAAACGTATATGTGTAGATTTTGTATAAGATTCGTAGTATTAAACAGATCATATTCAACAAATACGCAACCAATCTGAAAACGACGATATTCTAGACTCTAGAGGAGCCTGAGAATCTCAGGTTTGCCTCTTTTAACTTAATAATTTTTCATTTGTAATAGATATAATTGATAATATTATTTATACGTCCGGATCACGTGACCAGAACTCCAGCCAATGGTATTAAAGTATTATTGTTACGTGTCTCCGTCTGTATCACATGACCAGTACCATTGGAGGGAGTTCTGGTCGCGTGATATACGTCCGTATTTACATATATACGTTTTGGTATAATTTGACACAGTTTTAATTCAATTTCTCTAGAAAGGAACATTAGATAGATGTCTTATCGGTATCGTTCAACGCCTGAGATTCTCAGGTTTCACTTTTCCTTTACAGTTCCTTTTAAGTGTTAGATTATCTGTATATTATAGGACGGTGCAGTGTTCTTGGCTCCCGAATTTTCTCAAAATAAAATTTAGAATTTTTCTATAAAGAAAGAAAGAAAGAAAGAAAGAAAGAAAGAAAGAAAGAAAGAAAGCAGAAAGAAAGAAATAAATAAATAAAGAAAGAAAGAAAGAAGGAAAGAAAAAGAAAGAAAGAAATAAAGAACTGAGAAAAGGAAGAAATGAAGAAAGGATCGAAGAAAGGAAAATACGAAGAACGGAAAATATGAAGAAAGAAAAATATGAAAAAAGAAAAAAAGAAGAAAAAAAGAAGAAAAGAAAGAAAAAATATAAAGAATATAAAGGATGAAAAGAAGCAACTAACCTGTAACTTGTTGAAAAGTTTGATATATTTGAGTAGAGACTGCATGTGAGCAGGATTGAAACTTGGTCTGGGATTGAATATATTCTCTATCTGTGCAGGTCCCTGCTGCTCCCCCCGCCTCCTCTGCACCCCTAGATTTATCAATTAATAAATCACCAAGAGGATGGTTAATTCTGATCCAATTATACAGGGTTACCTTCAAAGAATGAGACTTCAAAGACGACTGTACATAATCCATACAGTCTGTTTCCTTTAATTCATTGAAAAACTTTCAGTTCGTGTTTAAATACTCATCCTTTGTGAATAACTCATACAATGTAGTAACGCTGTACAATGTACAATGTACAGTGTATTGAATAAATCTAAGAAAGTCAGGAGCTCATGATTAAGATAATATTTGGAATAAAAGTCAATGAAATAAAAAAGTCCGGAATGAATGAAAGTGCTATGAAAAAAACATAAGAAACAACTGCAAACTAGAAAGAAGGAGAAGGTAAAATGTAGGTTACATCACTGGTATGCCTTTGTGACCTCTTAGCTCCCCTAGTTTTAAATTTACGCTCCAGGATGAGAAAAGCAAACTTATCCGGGTACATAGTAGAAATTCAAAATATTCATTTTTCTCTCCTAAAGAACACTTTCTTAAGAGTTATGACGGAAAACATAGATTTCAATCTACCGTGAAATATCCTTTAGTTTGACGTGAAGAAGATCAAACAGGGGTAATTTTGTTTTACACAAAATTTTGATTGTGATTTTTAGAGGGAGGACCAACAAGTTTCTAACTAATAAAAAATGTACGAGTAATTTGAGTGATTTGTGAAAAATATTTATCACTTTTAAGCGGGCTGTAAATTTGTTTCTAATCTTCAGGCCCTTACACAGGATTTTACCCAGGGAACACGGGAGTTGCGGGAATAGTTGCCAAACACTTGTATAATGCTTATAGCTATAAATTGTTTAAAACATGTATCTGTGGAATAAGAGATAGAATAGTTGAAAATAATTTTAATAATTTAATAATTTATTTTTTATTTTCAAATTAATAGTTGAAAATAATTCAAAATAAATGGCGTCAGGAACTTTTAAAACTACTTTTTAGGAGGAAAACCTTTTTTTTAGATGATGGCAAGCTCATTCTTTACCTATCACACCTGAGATTAATCTTTGCCCAAAAATCCCAGGGGGGCAAGAGGACTATGCCCCCCCTGTTTACGCTCTTGCTGATCTCCATTTTGTGCTAAGAAAGGAGAACACACTTTCCTGTTTATTATTAGTGAAGTGAAATTTTTCAGAACTAATACAAAATGCGTGGAAATCTACCACTCCCTTGGGATAAAATGAATTAAAATACTACACAACATGCTGTAAATTATCAACCTTTTTCATTCTAAATATCCAATCTCTCCCTTTAAATTTCCGTTTAGTCCTTTTAATTCAAAGAAAAATGGTAAGAGCTAAAAAATTTGTCAAACAACGGGAGATACAGGGTGTCCCACGAAACATGACAGTATGCAGGACGACTTGAATGTCGTCTTGATTTTTGATATAATTTGCTGCGTTTATTTGTCAACCTAATTTTAGAAGTAAATTTCTAGAGATAATAATCACNTTTTACTCGACAAAATTAATGTTTAAAGCACTGTATATATAAATATATAATATATATGTCCACAGAAAACAAATAACTCAGGATGAGTGAAGGAGCTGTGATAAAAAAGTTTGAGAGGGGTCAATAAGGATTTTTTTACCACTCTGATGCCAAGAATAACATGGTAAAATGTGTAAAAAGGTGAAAGGGGCGGGGGAAATAAAAACATTAAAACAATTATCTTTTTTTTCGTTTTTCTTATCTGCAAGGTTTTGTGCTACTATTTCTAGCTGTAAATTGAAGGGGAAATTAGACGGTTCTGCAGGGGAAAGAAAATTGATTTTTTACAGGAAACTAGAATATAAATTAGAAAAGAAGAAATTAGTGCCTCAATAAATCTTTTAAATTCCTTTCTCCGGTTTAAAATCTTGTTCAGTGTGTATGTATACTTCAAGAAGGCATTTTGCATTTCAAGGCTTATTTTGTCTAAGTCGAGGTGGACATACGACAAATTAGTGTTTAAACTTGACTTAATCTACTCTGATCGGCGGGGAGATTAACCCGAGGATATAACGGACAATCTTGAAAACATTGTTGGCGGATTTTTCTACAGTTTTATAAAGTATTTTGTACATTTTGTAAACTTTTCAGATAAACACGAAGCAAAGAAGGAAATGGGGGGGGGGAGATGACTTAAACCCCTTCAAGAACATAACTTACCAATATTGTTGAACATATTGACAATCTTTAAGTTGAACTAAACCAGAGGCTACATACTGCCCCAGCAGGGCTTCTAACTGCATGTCCTTCATTCGTCTGAAGAAAAAAACAATCGATAAAATCAATAAATTAATCTTGAAAGAAACTCAATATCAGAGTTTGTGACTGTTTTAACAGAACGGGCAAATCCTAATGTCATCGTCTAAATAGATGAAAACCTAATGTCCCCGTTAGTTAGATAAAACCTGATGTCATCGTCTAAATAGATGAAAACCTAATGTATGAAAACCTAATTTCCCCGTCTAAATAGATGAAAACCTAATTTCCCCGTCTAATTAAAAAAACAGATGTCCCCGTCAAATAAAAAAACAGATGTCATCGTCTAATTAGAAAAAGACCTGATGTCCCCGTCTGAATAGAAAAAAATCTGATGTCTCCGTCTAATTAGAAAAAAAACCTGATGTCCCCGTCTAATTAGAAAAAACCTGATGTGCCCGTCTAATTAGATGAAAACCTAATGTCCCTGTAAGTTAGATAAAACCGGATGTCCCCGTCTGAATAGAAAAAAACCTAATGTTCCGTCTAATTAGATTAACCCTGTTGTCCCCATCTGAATAGATAAACCTCTGATGTCCCCGTCTGAATAGAAAAAAAACTGGCGTCCCCATCTAAATAAAAAATAAATATTATGTCCCTGTCTAGATAGAAAAAATCCATGTGTCCCCCGTATAATTAAAAAAAAACTGATGTCCCCGTCTGAATAGAAAAAACCTGATGTCCCCGTCTAATTAGAAAAAAATTGATGTCCCCGTCTAATTACAAAAAAAACTGATGTCCCCTTCTAATTAGAAAAAAACCTGATGTCCCCGTCTAATTAGAAAAAAAACTGATGTCCCCGTCTAATTAAAAAAAACTGATGTCCCCTTCTAATTAGAAAAAACCTGATGTCCCCTTCTAATTAGAAAAAACCTGATGTCCCCTTCTAATTAGAAAAAAAACCTGATGTCCCCTTCTAATTAGAAAAAAAACCTGATGTCCCCGTCTGAATGGCAGTTCTCCCAGATTTTCCCGCAGTCCTCGACTAAGTCTGTGAAGAGGGTGCAGGTAGCACTTTCCTTACTCTCACCCTCCACTACATGGTAGGCACTCGTTACCCGGCCTAGAAAATCAGGGTTTCTATCCCTCTTCTGTCAAATCCTGAAACGGGGCACTGGGAAGAAATATTTGCCTATTCCCCACCAAACAGAACTGGATGGAAAATTGAAAAACTAGTTGTAAAAGTTGTTCCACCATATTTTGTCCAGTTGTTCAAAAGTGGTTAAATTCAGTTATGGTGGCAAGACTAATAACTCCACTTTAAAACTGGAGTAAAACTCCACTTCTGCATTGCAATAATAGAGTTAAACTCCACCTCTGCATTGCAATAGTGGAGTTAAACTCCACTCTGCATTGCGTTAAACTCCACCTCTGCATTGCAATAGTGGAGTTAAACTCCATTTCTGCATTGCAAAAGTGGAGTTAAACTCCATTTCTGCATTGCAATAATGAAGTAATAAAATTCTACTACTGAATTTATAATTTCATTTGATCTTTCATTATTTTTGACTCTCTATATAGAGAAAGTAATTTTAACATTTTCCAGATCTACGATTTTCTTTAAAAAAACGTATTATTCACACAACACACAAATTTCACTGGATGAGGGTCATTTATTTGGTGTACCGTCCCGTTTTGCCTGATATAGTTTGTAAGGCTAGTGTACAGCTTGCTCTAGCTGACCAAAAGTCGACCCGGTACTTGAAATGAACCGCGGAGTTTACAGTGACAAGAGTTACAACAAAACAAATAAATGAGCCCCAAAAACTTTTTTTTAAATATCTAATTTTTCCTTTAACTTTTTTGAGTCATTATAAGTCACTAATTATGATAATCAATAGCATCTGTGATCTGAAAGGGAGTGTTCGCGAAAAATGAAATGGGGTATAGGCGGATATCGAATTGAACACAATATCGATCGCTATTAATTTTTCTTTTGACAGTTGCCTACAAAAAAGAACTTTTTTATAAACGTCGTACACCCAAGTGCTTAGATCCCATACTAATCCATGGGAGTTTTTTTATTCTACTCAGTTCGTAATACCACCTTTCCTTTTTCGCGAACACTCCCTTTAAGTAACAATTTCGAGTGACTATATTATTACTTAAATTATTTTTAAAAAAAAATTAGGATATCTTTATCGCGTTGGTTCAATTTTTATTCAGCCAATATTCCTTAGATTTTTCGCAAACATTCCCTTTAGTTGTGCGCTTTTTGAAGTAGTGACCAAAAAGAAAATTTTTAACTTTAGGGCAATGTTAAGTTTTCTTTCTTAAGGTTAAGAATGAATGTAACGTGTCCTTTCCTATATATCTAATATGATTATATTAAACATATCTTCAAATATCTATTCCTACATTAATCTCTTCAAGCTGTCCATATAAATTCACATTCATCATATTTCTAATGATTTTAATAGAAAATAATGATACGGTTTACAATAACACCCAGCTAAGTGAACTAGAACAATAATATTTACTTATTATTATTTTGTGTTAATATGTACATGAGTAAAACCATGAAAAAAGGCTAAAGCTCTATTTTAATCTACATGTCACACTTAACTACACTTCGGTGTGTACTGCAGTGATTTGCAGTACTTTGACTGAAGAAATAGCATGAGAGTGATGTACCTGTACAATCGGAGAAGAGTGTCTGCATGTCCGTGTACTCCTCCTGTGTACAATTATTACACCATACATCACCTACATGTACCATCACTAGCAGACTCATGTACAAAATAATACTGGAAAAATCAACAAAATAACTTTTATTTTTAAAGTTGAAAGCAAAGAAGTGAGAAAAAAATAAGCTTTAGAACAGACTTGAGAAGCTAAAATAAGAGGGAAAATTTCAACGAAGGAGGGGAATACGGGTAAATCATTTTCACCTTAGCTTTAAGTAAACAAATATGAGAACATTTGAATATTCATTTAGTAATTTTATTTTTTTTATAGGAAGCAGACTTTAAGAATAAAGTTATAACTTTTAAAAAGTCCAATCAGCATAAAACACAGCATTTGTGCAGTGTAAACAGACCCATTTCACTAAATTTTTTATTTAATACAGTGGTAGGCGATTGTATCAATACAACAAAGACGACTTTTGATTTCAATTTTTAATTATATCAAACTTTTAACCAGAAATGATATACAAGAAAAAATGAAGACATACAGAAACTGTGAATTAAAAAAGCTTCTCTTTATTTATTTGTAAACTTGTAAATAATAAAGTCGATTTCATTATATTGATATTCACGCCTACCCCGTATAATGTCGTCTTCTTCTTCCATAGTTTTCTGGTAACCGTATGTCACGTGGTAAGGAAAATATAACATTTTAAAACTTTGTTACAACTCTATTTTTAATCTTTGTAACATCTCTATTTTTAATCTGTGTTACAACTCTATTTTTAATCTGTGTTACAATTCTATTTTCAATCTTTGTTACAACTCTATTTTCAATTTTTGTTACAACTCTATTTGTAATCTTTGTTACAACTCTATTTTTAATTTTTGTTACAAGTTACAACTCTATTTTAAAGAAGTGAAGGAAGGGGATTAAAACAAGGTAAAGAAGTGAAGAAGGGGATTAGAACAAGGTAAATAAGTAAAGGAAGGGGATTAAAACAAGGTAAAGAAGTGAGGGAATGGGATTAAAGCAAAGTAAAGAAGTGAAGGAATGGGATTAAAGCAAGGTAAAGAAGTGAAGGAAGGGGATTAAAGCGAGGTAAAGAAGTGTAGGAAGGGGATTTAAGCGAGGTAAAGAAGTGAAGGAAGGGGATTAAAGCAAGGTAAAGAAGTGAAGGAAGGGGATTAAAGCGAGGTAAAGAAGTGAAGGAAGGGGATTAAAGCAAGGTAAAGAAGTGAAGGAAGGGGATTAAAACAAGGTAAAGAAGTGAAGGAAGGGGATTAAAGAAAGTAAAAGAAGTTAATCAGCCTTTTCTTCGGCCATAGTTATAGTAAATAGGGTACATTATCCTGAAATTACCCAAATAAGTGAACGGCCCATTTAAAAAAATTCTTTAAAGCTGAGAATCTAGGTTTGTGGAAGTATTTGTGTGTGCGGTGTGCCTTACTTCCCTCAACATATAGTAGTTTTTACGACCAAACACTTGGAAAGATTTAATATAAAATTACCAAGCATCAATAGTCGGGATCAATACCATTATACTGTACGCGTTTTCAATCGAAAGAGAGCAATACAGAATTGTGAGCAACATTTTTATTTAAGAATTTGCAATTTTCCAAATATCCACGAAATAATTACAAAAACCTCTTTTTTTATTAACATATCTAACTTTCCTGATGACCTTTAAAATAAAATATTATTCAAAAGTTTATAAAATGCCTAAGATTTTTGTTAAAAAAAAAGATTAAAGAATTTATTTTATTCCCCTTTTCTGATAAATAACTCCCCATCCTTATTTCTTCACTATGTTATCAGCTACTGTGGACAGATATAGGGGAATACATATAATAAGGGGATTTAAAGGATTTCAGGTGAAGGGATGGAAGGGAGGATTTAAAAATTATTATTTTAAATTTTATTTTTAATCCTTACTTTCAAAGCTCAGTGTGAAGGTGCTGGCCATATTAAAATCATGTTTAAACCCAATTGCACAAATTTTTATGAGAGACACTAACACATTAAGTTATCCCAATGTGATCTTGCCAATCTACACTAGTTGTATAAAACGTGGTGGATCGACTCTACACTTGGTATTCCAGACAGGACAGTAGGAGTGAATGTTTATACAGTACATGTTGTACCGGCACGGATCATACAACTTTTAGAGTGGGGTGAACCGTGCATATCATAAATTTTTCTCAAAATTTTACCATACATAACCTGTGTAGTGTATACTAATGTGTCTGCCCGTGAATTCTGTAATTTGCAAACCAGTAAAATATTTTAACATTGTGTATGTACCTTTTTACTATCTGTGTATGTACCTTGAAAACTATCTGTGTATTAACCCTGAAAACTATCTGTGTATGTACCCTGAAAGCTATCTGTGTATTAACCCTGAAAACTATCTGTGTATGTACCGTGAAAGCTATCTGTGTATGTACCCTGAAAGCTATCTGTGTATGTACCCTGAAAACTATCTATGTATGTACCATGAAAACTATCTTTACAATAGTTAAACTACCCGTGCATCAAGTAAACTACCTGTGTACCCGGTAATCTACAACTGCTTGCTCTAACCGGCGGCATAAGCAGCTGCTCTGCCCGGCACGGAGCCGAGCTACCGGCCGGTGAACCTCCCCTACTCCTACTCAAAGGGGTGTGCATTCCTCGTTGATAAATATTTATCACCTCTAACTTTCTAAAGTAGTAAAGTATTCCAATTTCAAATATTAAAAAAATAGGGTGAAATCTACAGCTGTCCCTGTTCCTTCACAATTTATGAGGTTTTGGGACACAGATTTTTATATTTAATGCTCGCATCACATCCTTTATTTACAGCCAAAAAAATAATTTTGCTTCCAGATACAATAACATGGGCACGTTAAAAAAAGAAGGATAACAAACTTAAAATATAATTTGTCAAAATCTGTCTAAAAAATGAAATGTATTAAAATGCAGACGTGATTTAAATGAACTGAGTCAAGATCTATTTAATTAATGATAATTGAAAAATTATAAATTAGTTCATTAAAACTACTTTTTTCATTCAAATAGTTCACACTTTATAAAGAATTATTTTCTTTTAAACTTTTTCAATGTATTCAGCTGACGTATAAGGACAACAATTTTCCGCGGAAAAGATTACTGTCGAATACTTTCTTTTAATTTAAGATTTATATAGGTAGGCACTCGTTACCCGGCCTAGAAAATCAGGGTTTCTATCCCTCTTCTGTCAAATCCT